GTAATGTTTGACAGAAGGATGGCAGCAGGAGTGAAAGACAAGGTTCTCAGATGATTTTTCTGTATGATGCTTGCGTACGTTTTGAAATCCAGTAGTAAAATAAAAGTAGTCTTCTCATTGTGGTGCCTCAAACCATTCATGAACGTATCCTCCTCATTAACAGACGATTTTACTGTTTTCTGTTTGTTTCTCAACAAACAAACTAAATATTGACCAAAACACATGTTGACAAGATTTATCTAGATGATTGTTGACATTTTAATTCAATACTTAAAAAAAAAAAGAAAATAATAAAAACATGTGTCCTTTCTGTTTTCAGACAGTCGAGATGGCAGGCCGTCGTGTAGCCCTGAAGGCCATTGACTGGGTCGCATTTGCCGAGCGAGTTCCACCCAACCAGCGTGGCATGTTCAATGCACTGAAGACTCGCAGTGATGGCATCTCTGCCAAGTATGATATACACCTCTCACTATGTTACACATCATCATCTCCAGTGTGTGGAAATTAGGCTCCAGCTATCAATAGACTAATCTGTCAATTACCCAATCAAGTAAACTCTCAATAATCAGATTAAGTTAACAGGTCATCTGTTTGTTTTAATTCAGCTTCTGGAGGATTACTGCAGATTTCTCCCAGTGTAAAACAAACGTCTGTGGATTGAGCAGCCGCAAACTTGGCTTTTCTTAACATCAGAGTTTGTTGATCACATGCTTTGATGAAGTACTCATGCTAGGTTTTCCCAGTAAAAGATTTAAGGGTGAACACAGGAACTGTGCAGATCTTTTGGATGTTAGAAAACATGTTTTCTTTCACTAAACCTGAGCTCACCGTAATGGTAACGGCTCCGCCTCTTTGCAGTGCGTAAACACTCTGGCTCCACGTTAAACTGGGCCAGCATCATCATCACTGCTGCCATTGTGTTATCAGTGTTTTTGTTTAAAACTGGAGGCTACCTGGGCTTAATGTTTTCAAACCTTTTATTCACATGCAGCTTCTGAATATGTTTTTAGTGGCAAATATGCATCACTTTTTCATGGCGACAGTAGCATGCTACAGAGTGTTAAACGAAGCATTGAATGTTTGTCAAGAATTTTTTTATAATCAAATCAATCAATCGCTGCAGCTTTAGTAGAAAGAAGATGTTTTCTGCTTTCAAAAGAACACAGCAAATAGTGCAAATGGTAGATTTATCTTAATTATTGCTGCTTCAACGGCTCATCTTGTACACATTGTGCGCTACTGATGCTGGAAGTATCAGTAGTACAAAACAACTGACTGTAGTATACTGGGATGTATTATTTAAACTGCAATGTTTCCTGCATAATTCCATTCTATTTGTGGTTGTAGAGAGAGCCGTGTTTGTGGGAGGTTTAAGGAGTTGGAATGTGTTGGAACAAGAAACTCTTTTTAAGACATGGCTTAATGACATGGAGAGCAGCAATAACAGTGACTGGGTCACCCAGCCAGTAGAAAACAGATTGATTGAAGTTGACATGTCATCTTGTATAACCTGCAGACTAAGGCCTGGGTGAATAATTTTATTTTAATCTCAGTTATTATTTTGGTTTCCAGTGATTATAAAAAACATCAGAGAAAAAAAAAGCATCACCTTAGTAACTGCATGACATCAAGTTAATGAATAAATTTATATTAGCGATTTAATAAAAAATTATGCGGCTGTCACATTATTCTTTGCAGACCTTAATTTATCCCATCGTTATCATAATTAAAGTGGGCGGTTGCATTAATTTGTCTCCTAGAAGCATCGTCACTGAATTTTGCATTTGTATCAACTTGTGAACAGTTCTGTTGTTCATTTTATTTGCTCTTTGCACCTTAAATATCATCTACTTGGGTTTCTCTTTTGCTCTTCTCCTCTCTACCAGGCTAGCCTCCTTGCCAGAAAAGCCTGTGGCTATTGACTGGAGCTTCTACAGGAGTGCAGTGGCCAAAGCCGGGATGGTTGATGAGTTTGAGAAAAAGGTGAGCTTTTCTCAGCAGGTTATTAGTCAATATTAAAGCACCAAATAGAGCATGTGTAGAATGCCATTTTTAAAAAGTTGTTTGTGGCATTTTTAATGTTGTGTCTAGCTGCTCTGAAAATTTTCCACATAATTAAAATTGTGTTTTCATTTTATGAAAGATTGTCCTGTAATGCCCCATTGTAGTGGCTGTAAAATCAAATCAGTTTTCACACAACTACATGAATCCCTGTGAAAAATTAAGTACACCCTTACATCTTCCATTGAAATTAAGAGGGTAAGTGGCAGTCAGGTGCTGCTAATTCAAGATTTGCTTTCACTTAGCAGTACAGATTATAGAGTATAATCAAATGCGCTTGATTAACCAATCAAATAACAAGTGTGACCACCTCGACTGAGATTTCTCATACATCATGCACAGTCATTTTCCTGGTGACAGCCATCAACTTCCAGCAACCACTTATTCCTGGTAGGGCACTGGTGCTTGCCAAATGGTTAGCAGACCAGTCTTTAGATCTGTGTGATTGGAGCCTTATTTACTTGACTCTGCATTGTCACAAATTAGGTCACATGGTTGTTGGCCACATATCTTCAAAACCTCAATAAAAGCAGAAGTTTTAACAGTTTTAAACTTCAGTGTCATATTAACACAATCATACTATCTTCACAGGAGTGGACCAGCAAATTCACTCTATGTTCAGAGCGTGCAGTGCTTAGAGAAACTGCAAAAAACCCAACAGCTACATGTCAGACTCTGCAGGCCTCAGTAGCATGTTTACATGTTAAAGTTCATGACAGTACAGTTAGAAAAAGACCAAAAAACTATGGTTTATTTGGAAAGGCTGCCAGGAGAAAAACTCTTCTCTCTAAAAAGAACAGTTCAGTTTGGAAAGTTGCATCGTAACAAACCACATTACTCCTGTCCTTTTATACAGAGGAAACCAAAGTGGAGATGTTTGGCCATAATTTACAGTTTCACATTTACCAAAAACAAAACACAGCATATCAACATAAACGCCTCATACCAACTGTGGAGGGCTAATGATATGGACTTGCTTTGGTGCCACAGGATTGGAATGTCTTACAGGCACTGAGTGTTTACCAAAGTATTCTGGAGTCAGACGTGAGGCCATCTGAAAAGAAATCAAGGCTTTGGAGTGACCCAGTCTAAGTACAGACCTCAAAATGATCAAAATGCTGTCAGTGGGACATTAAGAGAATTGTGCATTAACAAATGTAAAATGATTAATTCACCTTATTACTAATAAGGTGGCTCTACAGGCTATTCAATCAATAGTGTACTTAGTTTTTCACAGCATAGAGTATTTTGAAAACCTTCTTTTACATATAACACTGAGTTAACAGATCACGAAAACGAGTCAGGACCCACTACTTTTAGAAAGTGTTTTGCTTTGTTTTTTTCTCCAAATCTCATGTTCCTTGTTTGCAGCACAATCCACTCAAAACCGGTCTCAAAAACAAGCGTGTTGCAGGCACAAAATAATCCAATTTTGTGCCTGCAATTGAAATACTTTAGTTTCCAAGTTTTGTCGCCTATAATTTAAAAGAAATTTAGCACATGCTTTGCCATAACATGGGGCTCCCAACTCCCAGTTTTTTTTACCATGGGAAGAAGCATTAATGCTTTATCCATTTTTATGTGTAGTCGGACAGTCTCAGACTTGCTTTGAGTGGGACACAAAAAGTAGAGCTTAAATTCCCTGTGTTATTAAATTCTATCTTTTACTTTTTTATTCTTCCTTCACACAGTTTAAAGCACTGCAGATTCCTGAGCCCACTGACACACAGACAAGCACCATCAATGCGCAGGAGGCTGAGGCTGTAAGTGGCGAGATCAAACAAATTAATGTATTTGCATGTTTAGCTTGAAAGTAAGAACATTTTTATCTGGAAACTGTAATGATGAAAGAAGAATTGGCAGCCATACCATGTGTACATATTTTAATAATAAGAATTGTAAATGTGCAAAGAATTTTCCAAAGGTCACAAAATTGTTTAAACACAAATTGACATTTAAAACAGAGGGAGCTGCATCCCAAATCTCTTCTTCTTTTTGCTCTTTTAAATTCATAATTTCACTCTTCTCCAACAGAACAAAAGTGCACAAGCCTACATTGAAGGATCCAAGGCCCGCATTGCTCAGTATGAAGAAGAGGTGAGACAGTAGTTGGCTTATTTGCTGAAATGCACCATGAGTGTGTTATGGTGTTTAAAAACTTCTTTTCTGCTTTGTGTGTTTTCAGTTGGCTAAATTTAAGAACATGATCCCCTTCGATCAGATGACCATCGAGGACCTCAACAGCGTCTTCCCCGAGACAAAGTTGGACAAGGTCAAGCACCCGTACTGGCCCCATAAGCCCATTGCAGAGCTGTAACTTCATTACTTGACACTGACCTCACAATAAAGATTATGTATTCTAAGGGCGAACCTTTGCTGTCTTCATTGTTTTATTAGTGTGTGGGGGAAAAAAATATGTGTATTTTAGTTGTCTCTCTTAAAGTAGCACTTTGTTAAATTGCAGGTACTTCCCACGAGAGGGCAACGTTGCTTCAGTTTTACTTGCAGTAAAAGGTATTGGGTGAAAATAACGGCCGTCTTGTTTCGATGAGGTACTATATTTTAATGTCAAGACAGAGAGCGATTTCCCGAAAATGACATATAGCTAATGACAGATGTAAACGTAACGGAAGTGACGGACATATGGGGAACTAATTGAGGTTTGATTGTTTTATTAACACTTTTATCATTCTTAAAGGTGTAGCGGTATCCCGCGGCAAAGGCGAGTGATGGTTGTCTTATTGTCAATCATTCCAAATATTATCTAATCACGGGTCGCCTGGTTAGTTATTCTAAATTCTCATTGGACACAGATTTTTATTTACATAAATGTGGGCGGGAGATCTGGGCCAGCGCCCAGTCTTGTATTTTAATTGGGCCGACTTGACAACATCTCCAATGTTGATTGGACGGAGGTCTAGCGGACTTAGACGAGGAGGGGCTACATTGAAGATGATTTCCGTTGTGTTTCACTTGACTGTACGTGACGATTGACCGGAGTGTATCAGCTTAGGTAAATCCTTCTATACCTATATTATTTAAAGAGATGAGTTTGGTATATGTTTTAGTAGACGACTGTATAATTTTACTAGGCTTTTACTTAATGATAGTAGTGAAAACCGGAGATAGCTCTTCAACTGTGTCACTAATGTTAATATTATAGCTCTGTCACGTTGCTCTTTTGGAGGTCAGAAAAAGACGAACTGTAAACCCAAGCCCGTTATCGTATTTACGATGGTTATAAGTTCTTGCACCCCCAAGTCATTAATGATGGCCGGAGAAAACCGGTAACGACAGCTAGCTAACATTATCCCGTGACAATAATCTGTCAGGTGCCCTCTGCCTTGAAGGTAGCAAATATTTTTCTACTTCCAGCTTATCGGCTGTGTCCTAATACTTAGCAATATCATAATAAACGGTTCTCCAAGTTGAAAGAAATAAACGAGGCCCAACTATAATCTAATCTGTGTAGCCACTGTCGTCTTCGGGATTGGTTTCATGTGAGTGTTTGCTAGCTAACGGTACACTACTGCGACAAAATAAAAAATAAAAACACCATCTGCTGGTGTGTACTAGCTACCTAAATGTCGTAAAGCTTAGTGTAAAAACTCCACTTTTTTGTAATGTACTGAAGGTGAATCCTCACCACCATGGTCTGTTTACAACGCAACCAAATAACCAGAGTCAGCAAACCAGCGCCGCTTCGGGCGCAAATTATGGAGAGCAGTTTTAGCTGGATGGAAACACGAGCTAATGTCATCCTCACACAGTGGGCAGTGATGTAGTCAGAAGACGCCCCCTGAAGAGCAGGAGTGTAATTTAATATGATATTTATGTTTACAGGCTCTGGACAGAGCACAATAAGGCTAATGTGAACATAAATCCGTGCAGCTGATGAACAGTTTTTGAACAAAATTCCCAGTCACGTGTAGCTTTCCTGCACCTGGTTAGCATGTCCACAATTTAACAGAACACTTCCTAAATATATTAAACTGTATATTTTGTGCGAGAAGGGCTTTAATACTTAAATACAGGGAAAACACTGGACAGATCGGTACAATATAACTAGCTGGTCACTGCTTTGCTGCAGTTTGCATGTGTCAGGGCTCTATGCTGCCTGTGTTTTATTTTTAAAAAATCCCAGTTTGGGCTGAAAGTAACAACAAAAGAACTGTTTTGTTTCCCTTTACCTGTCTTAAATACACTATTTAACCGTTAAGATACAGAGTGATAGTTTAGTCAACTTTGGAATCTTTTTGTCATCTGTCAGAGTTTCCAACCATACACATCACAAGACTTTGAAAGCCCAAACTGTTGTTATTGTTACCATGAATCTCATGGTATAGTCGGTACTCTGTTAACAGTCAGTCCAGGTCAGACCGTGTATAGTGGGTTAAACACTGGCTTCATTGTTCCTAGAGAACAATAGGAGTAGGGCTGCATGGAGAGGGGCACTGCTTGGAGGCTAGAGGGTGGATACTATCTCCTTTGGGTCTATCATCCTGTACTCTTCTTAAAGGTGCTATTGCCACACTTTAAAATTATGCTGAGTGAAGTGTCAAGTGTAACTCTAAGTTTCAGTTTTTATTTTGTCTGGATTTACGCAAGGTTTCATGCACTGGCTGCTTCAACAGAGGCAGAAAAAAGATTTTGCAACACATGGGACTACTTTATCAGTCCATTCTTAGCTCGCCTATTTGTCCATTCTTAAATTAGGCCAGGTTACCATGGCATCCTTTGTTGTGTTCCTCCAGTTCTTGAGTAGTTGTTTTCAGTATGGAGGGCACGTGGGGGTGTGCTTGGTCTGCAGCAAGGTTTTGGTGGCTGGTGTATGTAAAAGTAACATCCAGATAAATGCCAGGACCCAAGATTTGTGCCTTTTGGTAGGAAATGCTAAAGATGTTCCTATGCGGTGTTGTAGCTCTGTGGGTCCTTTGCAGCAGCATGCTGTTCTGTGGTTTTGTTTATGATGCACAGGGTTACTTCATGTAACACAACACTCAACTCTGTTTTTCACAGATTGAATTTCATCCATGCATCAGTCCAGCCTCTCTATCTCTCTCTCCCAGTCACCAATCGCACAGGAGAAAGCTGCTGCTGATTGCAGTTTATGTTGTATACATCTTGTCTAAACTTTTAGGCAATTGCTGGTAACATCGAGACATGCTGTATGTTGCACAAATTTTAACAGTCAGTATTTGTAGAAAAATATAATCCAAACTCAGTTTAAAGGTGTGTTGAGTAGGGATGGGTATCGTTTAGGTTTTATCCGATACCAGTACCAAACCGGTACTTTTGAAACGGTGCCGGTGCTTAAACGGTGCTCGAACCGGTGCTTAAAGAATGGAGAACACACACTTTGTCCAAAAACCTCTCATGTTTAGCTGTTTTTTTGTAAAAAGATAACAATGTTAGCCTTTTCTGCAGCTATAGAGCATATATGGTATCACTCTTGGCTGGAAGCAGCTTAAACAATGGAAAAAACACAAACTCCTCTCATGTACCTCTCATGTTTAGCTGTTTCCCACTTTTTCTTTGGTCATTTTAGCCTTTTTGGCCAGGGTGAAGGGAGTACCTGCCATCAAACAAGAAGACAACCGCATGTAACTACGACGGTGTTTGCTAGTTCACCTTACGTGCATTAATGTAATAACGTGGTTAGCCTACTCAACGTAAATTACACACGAACAACATTAAGCGACTCACCCAGAGAAGAACGGCTGATGCTGCCATCATCATCCGTCATCATTTCTGCTACACTGGCAGGGCTAGGGGCCAGGACTCTCCTCTTTGGGTTCTTGGGGGATGTTGCTCCGGGTCCTATAACAGGCACCACTCCCGCAGTAGATGTGCACGGTGTGAGGTCTCGCAGTAAGCTATGAAATACTGTGCATTTCTCGGCTTTTAAAACAACGCTATTCGGCGCCAGGTGTTTCATCAGATTCCAGGAGTTACCTCCTTTGCACAGTATCACCTTAAAGCACTTGTTGCAGGCTGATGAGTTTGCATCTTTTGCTGTGAAGTACAGCCAGACTTTTTATTCTGTAGCTCTGCTCCAAAAGAATGTACGTACCTGGGCCCGCCTACTATCCTCAGAAAGGTAAAATGATTGGCTAGAATCCAAAGTGTATGACGTCTCAGGAAAAAAAAAGCACCAAAATAAAGCACCGTAATGTGCGCTGCTTTTTGGTCTGGTTACTACCGTTTATGTCAGAACCGGTGCCATCCCTAGTGTTGAGTGTCTAATTTATTTATTTATTTTTTCAAGTAGGAATCCGAAACAAACACACACAAAAAAAACAGTCATTCTCAGTTAGGATGATTTACTAATGCTAGTGTTTCAATATAAACAAAATTTGTTGCAGCTCTTTATTATTATGGAAAATGATAAAAGGCTTTGGTATTTCAAAATTGTTTTTATAGTCCTGAATCAGTCACATTAAAAATTATCAATATATTTTATAATTTGTTAAGATATAAAGATATTTTCTTTTTCGTTTATCAAAACTTCCAATAACTTCCACTGTCCAATACCAAAAGATTTTATAAAACAGAAAAAAGGGTCAGCATTGTTATTGTAATGTCTTTTTTAGCCATAAGATGCTTGCTTCTTTATAGGTATCTTCCTCTTTGTGCAGCAGCCTAATCTGTATGCCCTTAGCAAACATAGAATCTGCTTGTTTAACTTCCAGCATCACTTTCTGCTCGAGGTTTTAGAGTTAGTGGGTAATTGGTTGACCTCAGTCAGCTTCGCTATTTATTTGTCTGTAGACAGTGAGCTTGTTGTTTTTGCTATAGAATAAATGCCTGTGTCAGCTGAATCTGTCTGTACTCTGGCAGACGTGGGCAGTTAGGTGGTATGTGCCTGGATAAACTTGTACATCTCCTACTGCTCAGTGTGTATCTCTCTGGGGAGGTCAAATACTACAGTGTACAATGGCAGTGGTTAAAGGAAAATTGTATGTGCAAAACAGAAAACAACAAAAAACCTCTCCACTTATGCAGTCACTCGTAAACACACGGAAACTAAGATACAAACCCAACAAACACAAAGCTGTTGTCAACCAGCATTTCTGCCTTTTTAATTTTTAATTTTTTTTTTTTAAATTTCATCATCATGTAATGTCCTGTTAAAAATGGCACAAATTTAGTGGAGCAACAAGAAAATCATTCCTATTTGGATGAATGGGAAAGGATAAAAAGGTGAAAAGGGGGTAATGAGTTACTACCTGTATAGTCGTTTATCTGTTATCTAGCAAGCCTGCCGTGTTTCTGTGTAACTAAGACAAAGGCCTGGATCAGTGATGTCAGCAATATGCTGTTGTAGGATGCAAATTTTTGGATCCCTTTTCTTCTGTGCAGTTGAAGCGATTTTTGAAGAATAGATGCAGTTAGACAGCTAATCCAGAAACTTTAGTTAGGGACTGAGAAATCTTCTTCTCTTATGCAACTGTGTGTGCTAACAACTTCTTTGTCTTTGAACTACATTTGCTCGTTCTGCCCCACTATTTTTTTTTCTGCAGCTGTGAACTATTTAATTTGTTTGTGTGGATGCACGTCCATAGTAACACTCATACTCCTGATAGTACAAACTGTGGTTTTCTCACTCAGCTGGGCAGCATAGACTACCAAACTGTAACATGTCAAAGAACGCTTTATGTTGACTTTCAACAAGTTACTTTGCTTTGCTAAACATGTTGGCTCAAGATATGTTTGACTTGTGTTAACAGGAAAAATCACAGTAAGCAGCTAAATAGAATTTGCCTCTCCATAATTTGAAAGTTTGTACCTGTGTTTTTCATACCGTGCCATGTCAAAATAGCTTTTTGTTGAGTATGCATATCTATCTTTGTTCTCAGTGGCTGTTGATGGACCATCCCTATGAAGAAACAGGGTTACAATGGGACAGAGTACCTCCGAACAAGAGGGTGAAGGTCACAGCCAAGAGGTTGGTTTTGACTACAGTATTTATTTGTATATGTGTCCTTGCTCCAGCGGATGGGAAGTCTTTCACAATCCTAATGTGGAAACAGGCTTCAAGGTCATTAACATAAGCCACAGCAACCTGCCAGTAGAAAACGGTGTGCTGGTGACTTGTATTAGCACATAACTTTGTGCTTACAAAAATTTGAAAAGCTGACTTTTAGGTTTTAGAAAGAGACCTCGAAACAAGTGTCCATTTAAAACTTCTCAGCTAGTGCAGAATTTGAGCTTTCATTTTAAACAAAGTTAGCTTGAGAGTGTGTAGACTACATTTACATCACTAGAGCCATCTGCTTGTCTCTAATATGTCTCGTTGGTTAGCCATCACCAGTTTGTCTGTCTGTAGCTTGGTCATTCTTGACCACCCTAGCGGTGCACAATTTGAGCTTTCATTTGAAACAAAGTTAGCTTTAGAGTATGTAGACTAAGCTTTTAGCTAAGGGTTTTCATGCATGCACAGTGACAGATTTGTCCTAGTTGTCATTTTGAGGCAAATGCACATGCATGTACACTTTCCACACTCAACTCACTGATTTCTAAACTATATTTTAAACTCTTATTCTAAATCTGCAGGTGTAGTGCTTTTCCATGTGCACATGCTGTCCATGCACTTACCGTCTCTAATTTCCACTATCAGTGAGTGTCAAGTGACGTGTCCAGCTTAAGACATTTACTGCTTAATAACCCTTAGCTAAACATACGGTAATCAATAATGACTGATAACGGACATGCAGTCTTACTGTCTGGCTGCCAGACAGCACCTATTACTCTTACTCTTGCAATATGGTATCTGATGGATTGTTAGTGACACCCACACATAAAGACACATAAAGAAGCTTGTCTTGGCCACAAGATCTTTGCACTCTTTTGAAACTCTTTGAACTGACCGTCTTTATTTGAAAAGTAAGTGCTGAGTTTGATATTACTTAAGTAATAAAGATTTCCTTAGTTGAAAGAAAAGCCAAAATATATTGCCTGAGTCTATTAATAGTATCCAAAACTGTGAAACTCTGTGTGGTAATCAGTTTGTAACTATGTGAAACATGGTAAGGGCAAAGTGGGAAGAGGATCAGATGAGTTGCTGCGTTCTCATCTCCTTTGACTGTTGTTTCATGTGCATTAGGCAGTCCTTCCTCAAGGACAAATTCTGCATTCTCACATTCCAGTGCACTTCAGAACTGAAGCCTGCAGGCCCGGGCTTCATACTAGAAGATGATTTCCAAAAAAAATTAAAAATTTAAAAAATCCCATCTCGCCACTTGGTTATGGCGTTCCACATATGCCCTACCTGCTAGCATTTTGCACCCTGCTGTTATATGCTGGATTGTCAGGGGCATCTTTACACAGCCTGCACCTGTTGTCTTACCTGGTGTGATAGACCCCAGCTTTTATGGATCTTATCCTCAGAGCTTGTTTCGTGCTGCCATGATTAGTGCCTCCATGCTGTCTTTCAGTCCAGCTCTGTCTAGCCACTGGTAGGATTGCTGGATGCAATCCTACCAGTGCTGTTTCATCTATCTGCCGGTGGCATATACTGTCCAGGGGCCTGTGCTTCCATCATGGTTCTTGTCCTTGCTCCTCTTCTTTCTTGTGTTTCTGCTGACTGAGGTATTTACTAAGCAGGCAGTCATCATGGATGTTTGTTTTCTCATCTTGGACAGTGGTTCTGAAGCTCACTAGTCCCCAACCTTTTTTTTTTTGCTTAGCATAAACTCTCAGGGTGCTGGATTTTGGGTGAAACCCTCCATGCATGCTAACGAGCTTCCTTATCTTAATGTCCATGGCTTCTGTCTCCTCTTTTGGCCAGCTTAGTATCCCAGCAGGATATCTAATCTCGAGCAGGATGTAGGTGTTGATTGCCTGGATCTTCTTCCCATTCAGCTGACTCCTCCGGACCTGCCTTACTCTCTGCAGGTATTTTTTAGTTGTGGTTTTCCTACTATCCTTCTCATGGCTTCCATTTGCCTGTGGGCATGCAGTTTGATGTCATCAATGTAGGTGAGGAGGAGGTGGCTTACAATTCCCCTGTTCCGTAGTCGGTATCCATATCCCCCTTGAGTTCCCGAGGAAGACTCTTAGGAACCTGTTGATCTTGTACAGCTCTAGGTTTCCAGGATCTAGGTGTGGGGCATTGAGTCATAGGCCTTCTTGTAGTCAATCCAGGTGGTGCACAGGTTGGTCAGTCTGGTCTTGCAATCGCAAGCATCTGCTCTTTCTACCAGTAGCTGGTGTTTCGCCCCTCTGGTATTCTTGCCAATTCCTTTCTGTGCCCCTCTCATATATTTAGCCATATGCCTGTTCATATTAGCCACTATGATGCCTAAAAGGAGCTTCCATGTGGTACTGAGGCAGGTTATTGGCCGGTAGTTGGTTGGGACCAATATCTAAAACATTTTTTATTTTGTTTGTTTTTTTCATTTTCTGATTGACTGTACTGTTTGTGTGTTCTCTTGTTACATTAGGACGGGTTTGATAACATCAAGACTTTTGTGGAGGAGGAACTACAAACAAGCATGGTGAGCATCCAGTTTGATTTCATGTCTTAGTAAGTCTCATTCAACAGCCAATTTGTCACACAGGTAAGGGAACTGTAGATTTATACACTTGGAAATAATTTGGAAAACTAACAGAAACTACCTAATACATCTCAAGTAGGTGTAACCATGTATACTGCTGGTAATATATGTACCTTGATAACAATGAACAAATAATGAAAAACTGAAAATAAAATTATTTGTTTTTAATGGCCTCAACTTAGTTTTTTTTTCTTTTTAGAAAACACAAATACTTTAACTAAAATATAACTTGGGTAATATCTTTAATATTAAAATATCCAAGTAAATAAATGCTTTACTGTTGTAAATACTATAATGTATACCACTGACGTTCTCCCTCTTTGGTTCCTCTTTATTCAGATGGTGGGGATGGTAATTGGTGCAGGTATCGCCATAGTCCTCATCGCCATCCTGATCTTCTTCATCTTGCGGAGGATCAAGCTTCGAAGTCAGTAGTTGCTGAAATGCATTTCTCATTGTACATCTAAAACGCATAAGGATAGTCATGAAGTCAGTAGTGTGTATACCTGTGGTAATGTCATTTATTATGTTTAACAGACTTAGAAGCTCAGGAGGCTCCCAAATACCGCTTCCGCAAGAGAGACAAAGTGATGTTCTATGGGCGAAAGATCATGCGTAAAGTGAGTCAGGCTGTATAAAAGCTCTAGCTGGCTCTCACACACTGAAACACGTCATTCTTGTAGTGTTTCAGTGTATAGTACTTTTTTTTTTTTTAAGGAAAGAGTAATGTTTAAACAAAACTATGTTTCATCAGGTCTCCCAGTCTACCTCGTCCCTTGTGGGTACATCCTCTTCTTCACGGCCACGCCTAAAGAAGAAGCAGAAGATGCTCAACATTGCCAAAAAGTACATCTGAATGCTAACTTTCACCAAGCATACGCTATTTTGACTGTACTAACATTCTTTATGTGGCAGTTGCTTTCCTCTTATTTCCTTCTTATTATCTTCCTGCATGTGACTTGTGTAGGATCCTGCGCTTTAAAAAGGAGGTTCCCATCCTTCAGGCTAAGGAGCCCCCTCCCTCAGTGCTGGAGGCAGACCTCACTGAATTTGATGTGGCCAATTCCCACCTCCCCTCTGAGGTGCTCTACATGCTTAAAAATGTCCGGTAGGTTTAATGTCTGTGTGATTGTGTTCTGTAGTCCAGAGTACATAGTTTGTGTGGATGCACAGTTTTGCTCATAGGGGGTTGCTTAATTTGATTTGTTGGGGTTTTCTCCAGAATACTATAGGATCTTTACATTACTATAAAAAGTGCCTTGAGGCAACTGTTGTTGTACCTGCTGTTATTGAACCATCAACTGATAAATTCTCTTGTCATGTACTGTATTATAATATTTAATTCACCTCTGCATATTTTTTTATAATATATAGATCCACAACTAAACAGAAAGACAATTTTAATTGCCCTTTGTACAAACCAAGTGTTTGCAGCTGTTTGCAATGAGTGTAATTCCTAACCCCCAAGCTTCCCTTTTGTCCTTTCATACAGGGTGCTGGGTCACTTTGAGAAGCCACTCTTCTTGGAGTTGTGCAAACACATGGTGTTTTTGCAGTTCCAACAAGGGGAGTATGTCTTCAGGCCAGGTCAGCCCGACAGCAGCATCTATGTTGTTCAGGATGGAAAACTAGAATTGTGCCTTACTGGAACGGTATGCAGGCTCCGTGTCCCTTTAATCATGTTTACCTCTGAATTTTATGCAATAAACTGTTTTGTTTAATTGTGACTATAGTTTATTGTATGTTTTGTAAGCTTGCACAAATACTTTGTGCAAACTTATGCAAGCAGCAAAGTGGTTTACCAAGGTGCTTACCCACAAGAACACTGGCTTTAAAAAATTTGTAGCTAATCATGTCTCCTTTAGCCAGTGTTAGTGTTTGGATATATTTACCAAGTTTTAAGTCCTGAGGGAGATGTTAGTGCAGGCTTTATCTATATTGATACTTGATTGTGTACATCTATATGTATATTGATTGTGTGAATCTTTATGTAAACACTCATGTTGAACTTGAGTATAAGTTCTTAGAAAACAACTTGATTGTTTACATAGATATGAATGCGTTACTCCTGTCTTCCAGGATGGCAAAGAAAATGTGGTGAAAGAGGTTTACCCAGGAGACAGTGTGCATAGCCTCCTGAGCATTCTGGATGTCATCACAGTAGGTCACACCTATTTCTTACCGCACATAAAGGCTTTGTGCCACACCTACTTATACAAACCCTGCCAGTTCTCATAACAGTCATTTACACAGCGCTAAATAAGATAACATGACTTTGTGTCATTGTGTTGGCCCACACCTACATACTACAGCACATTCACCTGCTGACTCAGTTAACCTTTTCTCACTGGATGACACAACACTCTAAAGTAATTATTTGTTTTAAACCCAGCATTCATTTCTTTTCTTTTCTTTTTTCTTTTTCATCCATTTCTAAATTTAATTTCATTTATTTATTTATTTTACACTTGGTACAACAGTTTCCACAGTTAGTTCTGTCAGACAAACCAACCACACTTTCTATCAGTAAAGCACTGCAACCATGTGTGAAAAGGAGCAGGAAGAAGAAAATATTCTTATTAAACCCTGCCCCCTATCTACAATCCAACTTATATTGCAAGTGGGCACCAAAAATCAAGGAACAAACTAACATTTATCTCTGGTCCTAACGCAAACCAAACAGATCAGAATATACCACTCCACATAGTAACAAGGAGAAAAGATAAGTAAATAAAATAAAATGAGGCAAAAAATAATGGATCCTTTTTCAATTAACTCCAATTTCATTCACGTTCTTCATATTGAGTTATCGTTTTAGACATGTAACACTTTTTAAAACAATGTAAATTTATACAATTCTTTAAATTATAATGAAGAGAGTTCCACAGTCGTATACCCCTAACTGTTGGACTCATTAATCTTTGTGTGGTTCTAGCTAGCTGATGCTTAAAATAAAATTTCTTTCTGCTGTCTTCTCCCCCCGAACACATTAAAAATAATCTTTGTAACTTAAAAGGCAAAATATTATTTTTAGCCTTAAACATAATTAATAGTGTTCGTAGTTTCACTAAATCTCCTAATTTTAATAATTTCGATTTTATAAATAATTTATTTGTATGTTCTCTAATATTATGAATCATTCGTATCACTTTCTTCTGTAATAAGTTTAGAGGTTTTATAGTATTCTCATATGTATTCCCCCAAACTTCCACACAGTAACTAAAGTATGAGAAAAACAATGAAAAATATAAAATGCGCATTGTTTTGTAGTCTAATAAATTGCTTACATTTCCCAAAATATAAATGTTTTTAACCATCTTCTTTCTAATATACTCAATATGTGATTTCCACGTCAAATTTTCATCTACTATTACACCCAAAAAGCGAAATTCAGTAACTCTTTCAATCAATTCTCCATTAATGGACATAATGACTTCTTCCTCCTTTACGCGATTGCCAAATATCATGAATTTCGTTTTTGTCAGATTCAAAGATAATTTATTTACATCAAACCATTTTTTCAATCTTAACATCTCAACCAAATCTTTCAAATTCTCTCCTGAGCAATAAAAATTTGTGTCATCTGCAAATAAAATAAAATGTAACCTTTTTGATACGTCACAGATATCATTAATATATAAATTAAAAAGTTTAGGTCCCAAAATAGAACCTTGAGGAACACCACATACAATCTTCAATCTTTCAGAGGTATTGCCGAGATAATGTACATATTGCGACCTATTTTCTAAATAACTCCTTAACCACTTCAATCTGTGTTGATTGAAATTAAGTAATGTTTTGGGGTCATTCCATATAAAAAACTAATAAACTGCTAATTAGAAACATCCCACCTGTAGAGCTTCTGTAAGTACAGGTAGACTGAGAAAATGTAAAGTATTCTTTTGGATATTTGTGTGCAGGGCCACCAGATGCCTTATAGAACAGTGTCAGCACGGGCTGCAGAGGTTTCCACTGTTCTCCGTTTGCCTGTAGAAGCCTTCCTGTCTATATTTGAGAAATATCCCGAGAGTCTAGTGCGAGTAGTACAGGTGAGTTGTATAATGATTATTATTCCTCAGTGTTTGTGGGGGGTTTTTGTAGATGTGCTTAAAATTAGAGTCGTATTTATGGATTCGTTTTCCACACACTGTATTTCTGGCTCGACGTCTGTAAACTAATTGTTTTCCTTTCGTGCTTGAAATGACTAGCTTTCTGTTGTGCCATTTCAGATTATCATGGTTCGTCTCCAAAGAGTAACAGTGTTAGCCCTGCACAACTATCTGGGGCTGACCAATGAGCTCTTCAGTCATGTGAGTTCATCTTATCAAGGCACCAGTTTGAAAGAAAGTCTTAAACTGATTAATTGCCTTAAGAAAACCCAATTATATTCATCAAAGAGTTCAGAATGGTGTTAGTCCTGAGATCAAATGTAAGCCAATATAAATATTTAAGACGAGGAGTAATGTGTGTTTGCCCATTCAAATGCTTTTAAATAGTCCACAGAATTCCTGTAATATGATAGTTATCACTCAACCAGTAAAGTTACTGGTAACATAGATTCACAAGTGCTGTAACCCTTGTGACCTGGACCTCATAGTCCTCATACACATCCTGCTGTTATCATGATTTCAGTGCCTAAATACTAATATCATGCTGTACTTTCCACCTTGTGAACACACTCTCAAATTAATCATCTACCTCACTCTTATCCATACATTACTTATACTTGTTTTTACAGGAAATGCATCCCTCACGTCTGCCACCGCAGTCACCCCACCCTACTCGCACCAGTCCTGTACGCCATGGCAAACGCTTTGGCAGCCTGACGGTACCTGAGGAGCACCGAGAAGCAGCCGTTAAAGGTGAAACTCCAGGTAGGGTGTCAGCATACAGATTAAGTAACTCCCAGTGTTATAGAAGCTGAATCTTAGTTGAGGTGTACAGAGTTGCTTTAAAGCTTCATATGCAGGGTATGGATGGCTGAAATCCTTGAAAATTCATAAATTTTAATATTGTCTTTTCAAGGTACTAAAGTGCTTGAATTTCAGATGTGGTGCTTAAATGTGCTTGAAACTGTATTTCATTCACCACAAATAACTATCTGACCGAATAGTTTTCTTATCAGATAGAAAAATAAAATGAGTCGCAAAGTGTAAAAGCAAAATTTCCCTGCCTGGGCTGCCTCACACCTCTGCATGTCAGTCTGTTTCAGTGTGTGACCCCGCCCCTCCCCCGAACAGTCGGAAGTCTTATATGTTGAATTGAACTGAGTATGTCATCTGTTCAAAGCCTCTCCCAGTCAGAGCTGTTCTCCATGCTGGTCTTACTGTACATGATGTTATAAGCACAAACACTTATGACTTTAACAATAATACAGACTGCAATGTAGTCAAACATCTCACAGTTAGTTTTACTGGGAATTAACTTTAACCTGTTAGGCCCCAAGGGGTTTTCTGAGCTTCCTGCTCAAAAATGAAATGACCAAAATAAATGGAGTATTTCTCTGCAATTACAAACTCTGTGTAAACAGTCTTGGTATCAAAATAAAGCTAACACTTGTAAGATGTCATCAGAGGTGTAAATATTACTGCAGATGTTACTATGGCAAAGTTAATGTGACTCAAACATAGAAAAAATTGATTTTTTATCTCCTTCACCTAAATTAGTAATTTAGTATTTAGTGACACTACTCAGTCGGCACTTATATTTCTCGTGTTATAACTGATTAAACTTGAGTTTGGCCCCATTTTTCTGGGTGTAGGTGTTTTAAAAAAAACAAACATCTGTCTCTTATTTTTGTGTCACATAGGAAAGAACCATCAATATCTGATGAGAAGACTTATTAATGTGGCCTTGCTGTGTATTATTGTGGTGTTTGGTGCAGTTTTCTTGTTTTGTAGAGTTGTTGTTTTTTTTCAAGTGGAGGTGAATATCTCTAACAAGTTGATTTGTTCACATTTGCACATCTTAATTTTTAAGAGAAGTGTGTTTTTTGAGTTCGTAAACCTCATGCATATAAGGCAACTATTTCTTTTTTCAGTATTTTTGTGTGGTACATTTTTCTCTGTTTTAACAAAAGGGGAACAAAGGACATTTAGGTTGATCTAAGATGATTTGTTTACATTTTTACATGGTCTTACTGAGGTGATGCAAAGTGAAACATAAATTGGTTTTTTTTTTTGGCTATGTGCTGGAAAAGCTTGAAAATGGACCTTGAAAGTGCTTAAATTTGACCCCGAAAAATGCGCATGAACCCTGCATATGTCTTCTCCAGTGCTATTTTTGCTTTGGGGTGACTTAGAAATGCTTTAAATTGTATTTATTTTTCACAACAGGAGAACAAGGGAAGGATGGAACAGTGCCAACTCTTAGCAGGACAATCTCAATGCCTGTAGACATTGCTGGTGAGGGATCTTTCTCTTGTACTGACAGATTATGTTGTCTTACTGTTCTTTAGTTTTGCTGAAAGTCAGACACTTTCTTCCAGTGCAGTGTGATATTTTAGACATGTTTTAATGTAGAGTGATTACTGAGAAGCCAGCAGAGAATGGGTAGCCAAAGTGTTACACTGATACCGCAAACCGTTCAGCTCATCCATCTACAATATGCTCTGCACACTTAATGTATACTGCTCATATTAAAAAGTTTGCCTATTGCCCACTTTAATATATATGACCAGTTGTTAATGTTACTGTTTTAGAAACGCTTGTATTTGTAAGAAGTGTATTTTAACAGTGCAGGTAAATAAGCAGGCAAAACCTTTTAACAAATGACAATATATTTTGCCTTTTGCTTGCGCCATCACATTTTCGTTTGTTCTTTTTAAACATAGATCAACCTAAGAATAATTAAACCACTTAAATGTTGACCTTTTAAACAGGTGTACAGAAAAGTCTAAGATCAGACTTTGACATGGCGTATGAAAGAGGACGGATTTCTGTCTCGGCAGAGGAAAGCAACACTCCACCCACTTATACTCGGGTCAGTACACTGCAGACTCTCAGGACAAAAATGAGAAAAGATATAAACCCTCCTTATATGTATACATTACATTGGTTAATTACTTAAAGAAAACAGAAGTATTTAAGAATGGAGAATAGTATAGGCCACAGTTAATGAATAACAAAGAAGTAATTAATATATGATTCATAAGCCAAAAATATTTAAGGATAAGCTAAATATAAGATATTTGAGAAAGTGTGGAAAAAGAGTAGTGCTGTATCTCTGATAATGTTTTTTAGAATTAGAATTCCTGATTTAACAGCAGGAACACCCATTATAAATTGGCAAAGTATGCATATTACATTATAATTATTCTATTACATTATTACAGTCCATATCACAGGAACAGCGTGAGAGGAAGGTGACAGTAGATGAAGTTCCTTCAGGAATCTATCTGTATCCAGAGGAAGAGCCAGTTGTGGACAACATTTTTACACCTGTGTCAAATCGATCCAGTGCCGCTCTCTTTGAGGAAGGTCAGAAGGAGGTCCTAAAGCTTATGAGGATTGAGGTTTGTTTTACTTTTTTTGATTGTTCAAGGATAATATTTTGCTGTTGTTCTATGCCGGTTTAAACTCCTACAGGCTGTGATCATAATACGACGAACAATTTGTTTTGACAAATAATGCAAGCAAATAAGTTTCCTTATGATTGACTGTTGCTTTAGAAAAAGAAAAAATTTGTGAGTCTGTGGTGACAAAAAATAAACGCAAGAGTTCAGTGGTGCTTTAGGGGGTTGTGTAATTCACTTGATGCAATCTGTGCCTCTGTGCAGGTGTTGCCACATTTAAACTTTTAAAATAAATTTGTGTAACTAGATCAAAGTGTGAGTGAAGAAATAAATCATTGCCTGCAGCACGATCTTCCTCCAAGGCTCAACAAAGTGGAGTAAAAGCATTTCGTCCACTGTCTTTTTCCACTTAGCTTTATCGTTTGTCACTGCTTAATAATTTTTTGACTTTTGCTTTGCTTTCTGCCTTTTGTTATGCAGGACCCATCTCTGTTAAACAGCAGAGTGACTCTGCACCATGCAAAAGCAGGAGCTGTGTTAGCAAGACAGGGAGACCAGGTATTTTACACATTCTGAAACCCTATGACCTTTTGAAAACTTACAAATTACTCTTTTAATTGTATTAATAAAGCAGGAATAGATTAGATGTAGTAAAGAAAGAAAGTACATTACTGCAGCAGTAAAAGTTATTTTTGTCTTTGTATTTCTTTTTTCCTCCTTCCTATTTTCACTTCAAAAGGACGTGAGTTTGCACTTTGTCCTGTCTGGTTGTCTGCACGTCTACCAGCGGATGATCGGCAAGCAGGAGGATGTCTGTCTGTTTGTCACCCATCCGGGAGAGATGGTGGGCCAGCTTGCTGTACTCACTGGAGAACCCCTTATATTTACCATCAAGGCTGTACGAGACTGTACTTATTTGAAGATCTCAAAGTCTGAATTCTATGAGTGAGTCTTACGGCTTTAGTGTGGATAAAGTGCAAGAGATGCAAATAACTTTAGGTCACTTTCACTTATATTTAATTAAATTTTAAAAAATAAATTAACCTCCTAAGACCTGAACTCTTTCATGGCATGCATTTTTAATTTCTCTTTGCTATTTGGCTTTTTAGTATTCGATAGAAGACTATTAAGTCACAATTGAGTAATAATGTGCAAAACTCTTTATTTGGTGTCTGAACACAGCAGCAAAACACAAAAGCAAAATGAGAAACAACAATTGTGCCTCTTTGAGCAATACGGCCCGTTTGAAAGCCATTTGAAAGAGCAAAATTTAGTATTGTGGTCTAGACAACCCAAAATGTGATGTCCCCATATGCAGATGCCAGGTCCCAGGAGGTTAATTTAAAAACTACATTTTTGTAAACCATCTGAAACAAATAAAAACTAATTAAAATACAATAAAAAATATGGGAGAAATACCCTTAGTTTTAGCATCTGTTAATTTTATAAAATTTGTTATCACAACTTGCCGATGAGGCATTGATGGACATGTTAATTGAGAATTTGAATGTGATTCACCTGCTTTCAAAAACGCCTGCGTTTTTTCTTCTTCTTTTTCTTTTTTTTATTATTATTATAATACATGTGCTGATTTTCTTAAATTTTGCCTCTAACATTTGCGCTCCATACAATAATAATTAAAAACACTAAAACAACTGAAACTAATAAACACTAAACTAAAACTAAACATTTTCAAACAGTAAAAACTAGACTGAAATGAGCAAATCCACTCTGGAAGCTAACTGAAGTTAAATTGAGTTAAAAACAAAAACAAACATGCATACACATTTACACAAAGCTTGTATCACCTGAATAAATAAGAAAAAGCCTGCTTGTGAAATTCATACATACATCCAGAGAATATGAAAGCTTAAAATATAAAAAAGTAAACTTTTAGTATTCTTTTCTAAAGTAATCTCCCAGTTTTGAGTTATCTCTCTACTTTTGACCATATTCCAGTGTGAATTATTCAGTATTTGTTCTCACTCTTTCTGTTATATGTTTCCCTCTGCAGGATCATGAGGGAGCAGCCCAGCGTGGTGCTGAGTGCAGCCCACACGGTTGCAATCCGGATGTCTCCTTTTGTCAGGCAGATGGACTTTGCCATTGATTGGATGGCTGTAGAAGCTGGCAGAGCCCTCTACAGGTACTCTGCTCTCGTCTTTACTTAGACAAAGAAATGAAAACAATCTTTGCATCTATGTGAAAACAATACTTGGTCATCCTGTTACATTTCTTATTATTCAGTCATAATTATAATGGTAAATGTAAAATATGCTTTTTTTCTATAATCTACGCATCGACAGACAGGATGACAAGTCAGACTGCACCTACATTGTTCTGAATGGACGTCTGCGTTCAGTCATCCGCAAGGCGAACGGCAAGAAAGAACTGGTGGGGGAATATGGTAGAGGAGAACTCATTGGAGTGGTGAGAACAAGGCATTTTTGTCTCATCCTACCCATGTGTGAATAGATATTAGTTAGTAAAATAAGCTCAAAACTATTAAGTTAAAAACAGCTGTGGTCCTGAGCTAGGATTGGGACTAGAGCAGTGTGCTGCATTTTTCCACATCTGGAAAATTTCGATTAGATTTCTTCTCATTTCTTTTTTTTTTTTAAGTTTTAAGTGAGGGACTAATCCAATCTAACTATGTATCAGGTGGAGGCGCTGACCAAACAGCCAAGAGCCACAACGGTCCATGCTGTGAGAGACACTGAGCTGGTTAAACTGCCCGAGGGAACCCTTAACAACATCAAGCGACGATATCCACAGGTCTGTGACTTTGTCTTTGAAGTACTATTAAGTGGCTATGTACTATAATAACATAGTTTCTTTTCAATTTTCTCTACTGTTGTGTTTAGGTGGTGACAAGGTTGATCCACTTGTTGGGTCAGAAGATTCTGGGAAATCTGCAGCAGGGTCGTGGGCCATTCTCTGGTAAGTCCAGTAAATTGAGCAGAAGGAAAAAACCCAAAAAAAGATCAGGTGACCAGATTTAATGAAATGAGCATACGCTAATGAGCAAGGTTGAGAACTAATGCAGAAGCACATGAGATCATTATTCACTTTATTCAAAAATTAAATGATATTCTAAATATTGCAGATGTTGCCGAGACACACACACATATACTACTGTTATTATTGCACGTCATCCCTGGGACATGTGGCTGCACATACAGATTTAGTTTGTCATACTAGTTTGATTAGTGTTGCTAAAGTTAGCAGTGTTATATTCTTTTCAGGGTAACGCCCCCACGCCTGTGCAGGATGGCGTTATGCGTCACTCTGGTCATGTAGTTGAATGCTAATTTATCTTGACATAGTCTAGTTCATTTTGTCGATTCAAGTATTGACTAGTGAGGGCAGTAACACACATGTGCGTGCTTCCTCACCAGCCAGCTGTGCTTTTACAGCCTTCAGTTTCTCATTCACTCCATTTGTTCACTGTTTTAATCTTTTAGGTTCAGCCCTCAGTCTTCCCAGTATGACAACAAGTGCTGATGTCACCAACCCAGCAAGCAACCTCTCCACTGTCGCAGTGCTGCCTGTTTGTGATGAAGTGCCAATCAATGCATTCAATCTAGAGCTCAGCCATGCACTTAGTGCCATTGGTAAACCCACGCATTTCAATTTTGTTCGTAAAAATCCTTTTTTTAGTGGGATTGCTTGACTTCTGTGTAGCTGTGTCTTTAAATTAAAGCAGGTCGACAAACAAATGCACAAGTTCTTTACTTTTTTGTGATATACAATTTGTTTGACTCTTGTAGGACCTACATTACTTTTAACCAGTGACATAATTAGAGAACGTCTGGGTGCTTCGGCTTTGGACAGGTCAGTCTGATAATCAAAGAATCTTGTCTGTATCACAAACCCTTTTTTCTTGTTGCTTGGGCTTTACTTGAAGCTATGCATTTAGCTTGTGTGTTATTTTTTCCTTATTTGTTTAGATGTTACTGAGTTTTGTATTTTTGTAGAGAAAGGCATTGCAAATAAGTGCTATAAATGCTGTAGGCGTGGTTCGTGTTGCATACCTATAATGTATTAAAATGTAAACAAATTACCTCTGCTACTTTTCATACCTCCAAGTCGTTGTCTGTGTCTCTGCTTTTCTTCTCTATCCATCAGTATCCATGAGTATCGTCTCTCCGGCTGGCTGGCCCAGCAGGAGGACATCAATCGGATTGTCCTCTACCAGACAGACAACAGCATGACCCCATGGACACAGCGCTGCATCCGACAGGCTGACTGCATCCTCATTGTTGGTCTTGGGGACCAGGAACCTACACTAGGAGAAGTATGTGTGTGTGGGTAAAGAGCTGGGAAGAGAAGAAATCGAATGGCAACAGATAACTTTAACTGTCTTGTCTTCCTTCAGTTGGAGCAGATGCTGGAAAACACAGCAGTGCGAGCTTTGAAACAGTTGGTCCTTTTGCACAGAGAAGATGGACCTGGACCTTCCAGGACAGTCGAGTGGCTCAACATGCGCAGCTGGTGCTCAGGGCATCTTCACCTCAAGTGTCCCCGGAGGGTCTTCTCCAGACGAGGTCCCAGCAAACTGGTACAAAGTCAATTTTTTTATAGGATTTTTTTGATGCTTTCAGTTTATTTACATTTAGGGGTGGACAGAATGGCAGAGATATCAGTACCATAATTTCTAGAAGGTATAATATTCTAGGAGAATATAAAAGCCTTGTTTTGAATATTGAGTATGCTAGATTGATATTAACTACAGTCCACATGGGTTTGAGCCTCACATTTTAACAGTAAACAATACACAGTTCTCTGCTTTTTGCTAATTAGGGCACATGCACACACATTATTTCACATCTGCAGCTTTTCGCATTGTTAAATACTAGCCAGACATCCTGACTCTCTTGGAGAGTAATTTCTTTTTCTGGCACTCCAGCCACAAGACACACCATTAGGATAGCTCTCACACTAGAACTTTTTTGTAACTCTGTTACAGCTGCCAGTATGCACATCATGTTGGAAACATCATATAAGGTTTAGTTGGTAAAGCACTCCCCTGTCACTTTGGGGGGGCCTCACTGTTTTTTTTTTTGTTTTGTTTTGTTTTGTTTTGTTTTGTTTTGTTTTTTGCATCATTTCATTCATTAAAATGTTGCTTGAGCGTTGTTGTTTTTTTGTTTTTTTAAAGCAACCTCATCCAGCCCTATTTACTGTTCAACATAACAGCAATTGTAATATTTTGATAATATTGTTACACAAAATAAAATGTAACCCCTGTATTTATTTTTGTGTGTTTTTCTTGCTGTGCTTGTGCAGAGGGAGGTGTATGAGAAGGTATTTGAGAAAACGGCAGACAGACATAGTGACTTCTCTCGGCTGGCCCGAGTCCTCACCGGAAACAGCATTGCTCTCGTGCTTGGAGGTGGTGGTGCTAGGTGAGCAAAGTCGATGAGACTTTCTGCACCAATAAAGTTCACAAACGTTCAGCAGTACTAAACTAATGTGCAGTTAATGTCTGTGTGGTAATGTATGGAAGGATTTCTAATGTGGAAACACTATGCTGTGCCTGTATACAGAGTAAAGCAGCATTAGGAAAATGTGTCTGTCTTTTAGTCTAAAAGCCATTTCAAATACTGATGTTGTAAATGTACTCGGCATCGTGCGTACTTGCTTGTTTTCAGACAAATTGTCTCCTTCTTACAGAGGCTGCTCTCATGTGGGTGTAATTAAAGCTATGGAGGAAGCAGGGATTCCTATTGACATAGTGGGTGGGACCTCAATTGGCTCTTTCATCGGTGCCCTTTATGCAGAAGAAAGGAGTGCTGTTAGGACAAAACAGAGAGCAAGAGAGTGGTCTAAGGTAGAGCACACACATCTAGGACTATCAACGCAATCATTTTTTTGGTCATATCTGATGACAATTTAGTTTTTCACAAAAATCTGACAAACATCTACTAATTCCCTGCAATTCTCTGTTTAACAGGCAATGAATTCGGTGTTTAAAACAGTTCTGGATCTTACCTATCCCATCACCTCCATGTTCTCTGGCTCTGCCTTTAACACCAGCATCTATAAAGTGTTTCAGGACAAGCAAATAGAGGTGGGACTGTGGTACAAAATGTTTTTTCCCCATTGCAACAACCTTGCCATAAGACAAGAGGGTTTTGTTTTTTTCTATCATTAACTTTGAAATAAAATGTTTTCCCAGGACCTGTGGCTGCCGTACTTCAACGTCACCACTGACATCACGGCCTCAGCTATGCGTGTTCATCAGGATGGTAAGTGAGCGCTGTTCTAACCGCAGGGGTCGTTACCCCTGTAGCATTTTATTAGCTTAAAATTTAGTCGAGATTACTACAGTACGTTTGTATTTCACATTATGTTTACATGGAGTACATTTACTAAGATTTAAGAATAGTTCACATTCATGCATACATGTAAGTGGAAATGAACAGTTGCTTCTTTTTAAATTTAACCCAACTTAATCCATTTTTACTGCCCTGAATGACAGAAAACTAATGTGTGAAGTTGGTTTCATATGTAATTAAATGGTTTCAGCAGTCAGTCAGAAATAATATGGTACAGTGATCAAAGCTCTTATCTAAGTGAATATACTGGCATGTTGTTCTACTCAGTCAAGTGTCACGAGGTACTAAAGGGATTATAATGTCTCGTATTCTCTAGATGCCAAGTCTGTAAATGTTGTACGTTTAAGCTTAAGCTGATGCCACAAACAAGCATTTAGCTGGCTAATGCATTATGAGAGTGGCAGGATTGCATGTTCTCAGAAGTCTCGGAAGTAAGGTTGGAGGTGGATGTACACCAAACTAAACTGAACTGGTGTGTTTGCAATCTCCACATAGACAAATACTAATATGGTGGATATATGTGTAGGTGGCAAATTGTATATTTGATTAAGGGGGGGAGGCTATGATGCTTCTCTGTACCTTCTGTCATATATAGGGCCATAATTTCCAGTAATGAGGTCAGTACTTCACCACTTCTTCTTTTGAATTGTAAATTATGCAAAACTACTAGAATAGCATCCAACGCGTGCATCTGGAAATGGGCAAAACAGAGGCCTGCTTTTACTGTGTCCACTACCCGTGGGAGGATACTTAAAGTTATTCTGAAAGCAGGTTTAAGTTCCTCATATCAAAAATATATGAGACAGGGAGAAATACTAGATTGGATAATTGAAAATGTTTGAATATTGTGATTACAGTGCAGTTATCAAAGGTACATGTAGCCTTTCGTTTGCAAACCCATTTATTTGTTCCTACAAAAAACATGCCAGTTTCAACCTTGTTTGGAGTATGCCTCCATTAAAGTGTTAGAAAGAGATTTTGCTGTATGTACAAAAGAAAGAACGTATGTTTTGATGCTTGTCTGTGTATTTGCTGAGATGTGTGTTCTTTTTGACTTGCTTAAAAATGCACCATCACTAACAATAGCCAAAATGAATCTCTGCGATCTAAAACGACTGTTTGTGGAAAAAACAACCCTCAAATCCAGTTCACTATTTTCTGTGTAATGCTCGTTTCTAATATTCAGTCTTGTACATTAAATGAAGTTATTGTAGTCTTTGATGTAAAATCAGTGTTTTGAATTATTAACTGGCTGATTGCTGGATTTGAGGAGTTCATAAGCTTTCAGGTCTCAGTCCTGCAGCTAAGCACGCTGAATGCTTATGTTTGCATCTTGGCATGTGGATGAACTAACTGCTAGAGCTACGCTTTCTTACTTGGTTTCATTGTTGCCATCTTTTGCCTCTTATCATGTGCCTACTTAAATTTCATTCTTTCTTTCTTCCTCTCTCTTCTATATCTGGATTTTCCTTTCTTACTATTGCCATGTGCTAATATAAAAAACAAACAAACCTGTAGCTTTTTCATTGTTTAGTGTCAATCCAATTTATGTTTAAAACTCCCCGAATTCACTTCATATATAACTTTATGCCTGGTCTTTCTGAGCATGGAGAGACATTACAGATATGCTCATTTATAGTTTACAACAAAGACAAAATAACCTGTGTAGTCACTCATCTCAGAATACTGAATCTTCTCCCATGTCAACATGTAGGATCCAGAACACTTTACCTTACCATTTACCGCATTGCCTTTTAGTGGTTTCCATCCCATGTTGCATCCATCACTCCTTCATCTCCATTCTGTGCTTTCTTTGGTTTTGGGTTTTTTGGTTTGCTTTTGTCCAGCATTTCTAGCTTGGTGCTATTGTGAATATGTCACTCTGAGTCACTGAAAGGAAATAATAACTGTCATTTTGATGGTTGTTATAAGGCAGAGAGTTTGAATTACTTACTTTGCTTTTTATCCAGTGAGGAACACAGCCAAGGAACAAATTTAAGAATGATATGAAGCTAAATAGAAATTGCAAATCTTTTACAGAAAAATTACCTAGGATTTTTTTCCCTTTTTATATTTTTTAGAAGCTTTAGTTGGAGGCCTAAGACTCTCTGTCTGTCTCTCTTTCCTTGTTTCTGTCTGTTCAGCTCATGTCTCTTACAGTTATCCCTTGTCTTCTTGTCTTTATCGCACCTTGCTGGATGAAACAGTCATCTAACAGTGCTAATACTATTTCTCTGACATGCTTAATGAACACATCAGATAGCATCACTGTTCTTTATTTTCTTTTCAAATTTGTACTCTGATACTTTGTTCTTTCTCCTTCATTTTCTTTCATTTACATCACCACTGGCTTTTAATATTTATCCTAAAAATAAACTGTTCATGTCAGATCATATTCTGTTCCTTGAATTAAATTTTACTTCACAAATATTTTTGATATCCTGTTAGTATTCTGAAGAAAGCTCTGAGGTAACTTCTTTTTCCTCAAATAGTTACATTTAAAAGGTTATAGAGTACTCCTGTAGTTTAGCTCTCTCTATAAAAGTTGGATCATATTAGAATTTGCAATATTTTCTTAAAATCACAGGCATATAAAAGTAATTTTGATGAGATTATACTCCCATTTCTCTTTTTAGCTACTTGCGGCTACTTACAGTTTCCTCACTATCTTGCAGGCATTTCTTTCTCCATGTTCCTCGCTCTCTCTCTCTCTCTTTATTCTTCTCCTTTCTTTCTTTTACTCTCCTTCACATTTCTTTTACCCCATCTGTGATGTGGAGTCTGGCCCATATTTGATGTGTTGCTCCTTCTCCATCTCCATTTCCTGACAGGTTGTGTCTGGCGCTATGTTAGAGCCAGCGCCTCCTACACCCCCTATTTACCTCCCCTGTGCGACCCCAAGGATGGCCACTTGCTTGTGGATGGTTGCTATGTTAACAATGTCCCAGGTCAGATTTTAAACACCCGCTCACCAAAACCTCCCCCCTCCCGCCTCCATCCCCAAATCGACAATCAACCACCCAGCTACCCTCCTCTTCTTTCGTCTCCCTCCCAAGTTCTCAATGTAACTAACCCCACCTTGACTTGGTGGATATTGGGAGCCCATGGTTTGGAAGGAAAGACTACATCCTACATATATCTTAAAGCCCAGATTGCATCATACCGTCTCTCCCATTGACTTTGTTATTCACACAGAGAACACGTTTTATCCATTTAGCTTAGTGTCACCTAAAAAAAAAATCACAAAACCCACTGAACTCCACTGTGTTTATTCAATCTCAGGATTTCTCCATGCATGTTTGGATATCTGTCGGTCATAGAGAGCTGCATGATCATCAGGCTTCATCTGAACACATCTATTTGCTGAAACTCACACTTCTCCTATGACATTAAGGTTGAGGCATGTCTTCATGCACCACTGTACTTGGCTTTTTTTCTTTCTTCTTTGTCATTTTCAATTGAAGTCAACCTCAATTAATTTAGATGTTGGCAGATTTATTAGCTCGAGATCAGGCATAGAGAACAGACAGTATTCAGTGTTGAACTGACGAGATGGTGAACGGCTGCAATCTACATGAGATGTTGACATCACATGTAAATCACTGTGTGTTCCAATTCACCTAAATGTGTATGTCAAATGGACTGAAATGCAATTTGATTCCCTGCTTCTATTTTATTTCAGTCATCTCTGCCTACAGGAGCAAGTTCAATCCCTCCTATCCAGCTGTTGTCCTCTCCCCTGGCTTTGCTTGCTTTTTTATGCATGCCAGTATGTTAGTTAAAGCCATCCCATCTATATATCTTTCATAAATATATATTGATGACAAATATCATTATTATTATTATTATTATTATTATTATTATTATTATTATAAAATATGTGTTCTGGATCTTGCTGTTGCACATTGCACCTCCTATACACAGTCAACGAAGCCCTTAAAATGACAAACAATCAACAGGGATGAAAATCTGCAAGTTTTGTTTTTTCTGAAGTCACATTTCAGTAATGTAATTCTGTTCAAGCATTCACATATTCTCTATGCATAGTAGCACCCCTCACTTTTCTCTGTGGTGCTCCTTATCCTTCCAACCCATGCAGCACTTTGTCTGCTCCTGCCCTCTGCTGACACTGAGCTGTACTGCAGGAGAGAGTAGGCTGGTTGCTTCCCTGTAATATTCACTGTGAAAAATCTCCAAACATTGTCACATCAACATCTACTACTGCTCCGTCCCTACACACAGTTGGCAATAGGAGTAAAATTGGATTCTACTGCTTTGGTTTATTCACTAATGTTGCAATAGGTCTGTAGATTTTGAGGAACTTATAAAGGAGGATCATATGCAGTGAAGCACTGTTTTTGGGACATAGTTTGGAGATAAAACAACCTTGATTCTCTGTGATGGTTGCCATTTACTTTTTTACCTTTTGCACAAGCCACACAGGATCTATGTGCAAGGTAATGAGGTTTGCAGTGGTTTACAGCAGAGTTTAAAGGTAGGCAGAACAACAGTCCTAGCCTTTGCAGGGATCGACTACCTTCTTTTGTCCGACCTCGCTCTGGTGTTTGGATTGCGGTCTGTGTCGACACTAATCTGAAACGTATAGCAAACATTATTGAGATGTTATCCCCCCCTTCCTCCTCCCTCCTTCCCTCCTTGGTGTGCCAGGCTCACTGTGGCGCTATGTACGGGCGAGCATGACCCTCTCAGGGTACCTGCCGCCTCTCTGCGACCCCAAAGATGGCAACTTGCTAATGGATGGTGGCTACATCAACAACCTGCCAGGCAAGTATAGGTGGTAACCCCCTGCTCCCCACCTCACCCCACCCCGAACCAATCCAGTCCTTAATTTCTATCCAACTCCTGTCTCCCAGAGGAGGGGGAAGGTGGGATGGTGATGGGGGGATGCTTTGAATGGTGGTTTTTAGGTTAGCAATATTAAGAGGTTGTGTTTTTAAGTAAGTGGATGAATGCTTAATGTTAATGGAGGAAAGTCCTGTGGTATTGCTGAGCTTTCCCCATCTGAATATTAAGCCAGTTCAAATTTATATAATGAGAAAATTCAAATCAGTGGACTGAAAAGCCCAGATTAAAACAAACTATACTTTAGATCAATCGCTGAAGTAACCTGGTTTGCCAGATGGGGGAAGAAATGCAACATTTAAAGTTTATTTAAATTTTATATAAATACAAGGCTTTTTCTACAACTAGGAAATATTGCATTAAACAGTGGGGATGTATTTGTATGTGAAGCAGCCTGGTGTCAGATAGGGGTAGAATTAATAATGTTGGAGAGAAGTTTCTAGTAAATATACATTTGAAGAAATGAAAACAAATCCTCTTCTGACATCAAAACCGCCATGCATAAGACGCCAGTCTGCTTTGAGATTACATTCTGATTCTTCTCATGTTGAAACTGTTGTATGATTGGCAATAATAATTTTAACAGGCTTGCAGCAAAATTGTAATTGTTATTATAATCATACAAGTGTTCCACACATTTTCAAAATTAACTACTTCAGGCAAGTTTACATTAAAACAAACCCAAAAAAGCTGCCTGGTGAGGTTTCTGTTTAAGCTGCGAGAATAAGACGTAAGTTTTTTTTTGTCATGTGCTTTCAACAAGAAGAAAAATCAGTGGTGTGTGTTCAGACTCAGGGGAACAGCTTTTTTTTGTCTGCAGACTAGTAAATGGATGATCATTGCTTAAAAGCAACTGCACAGAGCCAAAGGTACATATACATACATACATCCTGAAATGTTTGTGCAATGAAAAACACAATTGAGATTGTAGTTCTACTTGGAGTTTTCATTTTGATGTGGCGGTGAAAATTCCCCTGAGTCTGGGTTGATGTATTTATAATAAAGAAATATCCTCTGCACTGAAGAAACAGAACCATATTTCACAAGGAGACTGGCCTATTGCAGTTTTCTGCTCTGCATTTAAATAATTTCTCATTGTGTCCCAGCTGATGCTTTGTGAAATATGGTGCTGTCTGGGCCCAAAAGATTGATCCAGTGGAAGGGAACTTTGTCAAATTAACATCCTGTGTTTGTTTCAGTCTGCCTTCTGTGTAGCTGCTTTTAAAGTTGTTCTTGGGGTGCTGGATCAGTGTTTTAGGCTTGTGGGTTGTCTTCCACAGACTCAACACCACACAAATGCCTACTATTGCAAAGCTCTTTTTAATAAGGGGATAAAAAAAAAAGGCCCTGCGCTATTTCGCCAGGAAATATGTATAGTTTACATATATACATCTTATTTAATTGGCTGTAAATTCTCTAAAGTGAGCTTACAACTTTTATGTCTTAAAAGTTTTGTGTTTTTGTGGTGTACGTCTGTCAGAACACTGTGCCTCTAAAAATGAAGGTTTCTGGAGGCAAACCTGAAACAAATTTATTAACATTTATTTATTGTCTTATCATCTCTGCTGCCGGATTTTGTGACGCTATGGTCGTTCGTCTGCGTGATTGTGTGCTTGTGTGTGAAAAAACTGGTGTTAAACGTCTATCAGCGGACATTGCGAGGAACACGGGTGCCAGAACAGTCATTGCCATCGACGTGGGTAGTCAAGATGAGACTGACTTGTGTAACTATGGCGATTGCCTGTCGGGCTGGTGGTTGCTGTGGAAACGGATCAATCCCTGGGCAGAGAAAGTAAAGGTACTGGATGCAGGAGTTTTCCTGGCTTAGATTGGGCTAACATAAATGTCTTTTGTAACTGAGTAAGTGGAGTCCAACAATACTGGTTACAAATGTTTCTATTTGGCTCGAGCTAAAACTTTCTTAGAGGGTGCCAAAATTTTTCTATGAAAATTTTTTCTGGGAAAAAGCCTTTTATGGGTTGGCAGTATGAGGCAGTGGTACCTTTTGAGTCCATCTGATCAATGTGTAGCATATCCAATTCTGCTATGAGATCAGCAGATTCATCTTTATTTATTTATTGCAAAATCTGATAGTCTGTTGTCTGAATAAGATCTATGATACTCCCTTCTGTAGGTGCCGGACATGGCAGAGATCCAGTCACGGTTGGCCTATGTGTCGTGCGTGCGACAGTTAGAAGTGGTTAAGAAGAGTGCCTATTGTGAGTACATCAGACCACCCATTGACCGCTTCAAGACCATGGACTTTGGCAAGTTTGATGAGATCTATGTGAGTTACTTACCCAGTATTGGGTTTTTAATTGCACAAAAATACACTTTATTTGTGTGAACCTGAAATCAGGCTACTTCCAAAATGGGTGTAATCTCTTTGAAGGGTGAGAATCTGAAAAACAAGTACAGTTGTGTAAACCCCTAGTCTCATATTATGGATCAGCTTTAAAATTCGTGTGTCTATCATCTGATTGTTTGGGCAAAAAAGGGAGAAGTACTACTTTGGTTTCTGTTTATACTGGAAAACAATGTGGGCTTCTTTGAAAATGGAATCGACAGCTAATTTTTTTTAAGTAAAGCTACTAGCTTTAGATCGTATATTGCAATATAAGAAAAGCTATCACAGCTTTAATTAGTCAACTGTCGGTTTAACATCCCATAGTGCAAATATAAATGTTGATTATTACTCTAAATACACCACAGGATCCATCAGTGTTTCAGTCTGAATTTAAATCAGTTGCTCTGTTTCTAAACACTTATAGCTTTCATTTGAACTACTGTGTATTGCAGGATGTGGGCTTTCAGCACGGCAAGTTAGTGTTCACTGGCTGGGCTCGGGGTGACATCATCGAGAACATGCTGAAGGACCATCGCTCAGCCGACTACAATGACAGCAAGAGAACAGATGTGAGAAGGGCACATACGCACACTTAAACTATTAATCCTATCTTACATGGCTGCTGTAACTCGTGTCTTTAAAGGTGAACCTGCAAGTTCCATATGTAATACTAATAATAACATGTTGTCCATTAGTCCTACACGTGTCCAGGAGCTGACTTCACTGATCTTGCAGAGATTGTATCGAGGATAGAGCCAGTCCAAAGCTACCTTGCTGCAGAAGGTAAATAATTACTAATTCATTATTGTCTAGAAAGAGTTGCTCTTGATGTTTTGTTGGACTATATTTTCCTTCTGATGTAGAATAGTAAAGACAGAGCTTACAGCATTCTCCTTTGTGACAACGTACAATTCAATAAGTCTGATAAATAAGGAATTGTATCCTTGTCTCTTTTCTTGAATATAAATGGATGGGTCAGTCTCAATAAATTCTTTCTATAATATCTCCTCTAAATCTTTCTGATCAGCGGAGGAGTCAGACTGTCTGACAGAATATGAGGAAGATGGAATGGACACAGTAAGAGAGGAAGAAGGGGAGGAAGAGGAAGATGAAGCAGAGTACCCTGAAGACCACTCTCCTGGGGAGTGGGGACAGAATGGAGTTTTTCAGACGGTAACACTACAGTTTAAATTCTCTGAGCTCCAGCAACCATTCTTTGCTCCAATGAAACAATAATAACTCACCTCTTTAGATGAAAAGCTCTCCAGCAAATCTTCAGACCCTTAAAATGCTTTAATGTTTATTACACTGGGGGCGACCGTGGCTCAGGGGGTTGGGAAGCGTATCTGTAACCGGAAGGTCACCGGTTCGATCCCCGGGCTCTCTGTCCTGGTCGTTGTGTCCTTGGGCAAGACACTTTACCCTACCGCCTACTGGTGTTGGCCAGAGGGGCCGATGGCGCGATATGGCAGCCTCGCTTCTGTCAGTCTGCCCCAGGGCAGCTGTGGCTACAACCGTAGCTTGCCTCCACCAGTGTGTGAATGCGAGAGTGAATGAATAGTGGCATTGTAAAGCGCTATATAAATCCAATTCATTATTATTATTATTACACTCCACATTACAAATAATACAATGAAACATACAGTCACCATACGCTTTATTATGTCAAACACGCTAGTACCAAGGTTCTGTAAACCTTCCTAAGACATTTTATGTTTGATACCTTGTGTCCAAGATGAGATTTTGTCAGGCGAGAAACGGAGGATCTCTTGGCATTAGATTTAAGTTGCACCAGATGGTTAAAACACTGTCTTCTCTACAGGATGAGGAGAAATCTGTGAGGCAACGTCGGAAACTTGCCAGTGACTCCAACACCTCTGAAGTCTCAGACTGCTGACAGTCGGCCACGAAGGAGTAGGAGCATAAGACTAAGGGTCCATAAATTTTCAGTGTTAGATGTGGGCGTCACACTCAGCCCTTGCATCTACTAAAAACTCAAAGTTTTCTTTCTGGAGCATAGCCACTTATTGTCTAAACTGCTGAATCTTCTTTGCATCAAGTGACTTTCTCCTGATTTATGCGGTTTAAGAACAGGCTTTGAAAATTTACCCCACCCAGAATCTGTCTCTTCAGACACGTCAACTTTACCGTAATTCCAACCATAACAAAAACTGAGACTCTAAACTTCCATTTCAGCAACTGAAATCACCTGCATGTTCCTTCTGTTTCTCTAAATCTTTATGTACATCTTTAATGTCAGCACACCTTCTCTGCACTGTGTCATTGATGATTTGACATACATAGTCCTCAGTTCTCATGTGTGCTTGTTCAGATGAGTGTGTGTGGGTTACCTGTGTGTTGGAGTGACTGGTACTGATGTGTAAAGCTGTGAATTGTTAAAATGGTAACTGGGCACTAAAAAGAAAAGTAGGGAGCATAGACAGAGCTGTAATTACTAATAATGTAATTATGTTAAGATTATCCTAGATACCATGTAGAAAGTCAGTTAGGGAATGCTACAGGAAGAATGGCAAATTGTTATCACCAAAGGGGAGTGGTTGAATGAGCAGAAATATTTGTGAATTAATGCAGTGGACAGGTTTCAAAAATACATTATTGAGATAAAGCTGGGTGGATGGGGAGCAATATGGAGTGTGCGGTGAAAGTTAGGGATGAATGTGAGTGGACGACATTTTGTCTGTGTGCTAAAAATTTGCCGTTTGAGTTGTTTTTTTTTTTGAGATGATGCCAGATAAAGACGATGCCTTCAAGTTCAACACACTCAGAATGAGCATGACTGTGGAGCGATCATTTGACTGACACTAAACAACAAACAAGTTTGCGTCTGCCTATGCTTAGGCAAGGTCACACGCACAGTACTCAGGGTTCCTGCGTATGACTTGACATTTATGCCAATAGTGTCCTCTGGTGATAACAAGGTGTACGTGTGAGTGCATTGCAAATTTTGGAGTAATGATAATCTCCAAAACGAGCCAACATTATCAATAAAACCCTGAAAATATCAACAGATTATGTGGATAATACGCAGAAATCCCGAGTAATCCTAAACCTCTAAATCACAGAAGTTCACCTAATATAATATTTAATTCATATGGACCTCTTGTAGAAACTGTAACAAGATTATATTAAAATACACAAAATGTTCATATTAATATATGTATATGAAGTGAGAATTTGTAAGTTGATGCTTTGCTGCAAACCAAGGGAACTTACACTGAAAAAAAAGGGGTTTGTTCTTGTAACATCAGTTCAGTTATTATGGACAGTTGCCAGACTTGTTTTCGTTTTCTTTTATTTATACATGTCAACTAATTCATTTTTAAACTCGGAGACAGGATTGTATGTTGTTTTAATGAACTTGGCTTGAGCTCTTTGCACTGAAATGTTTGAGTTTATTCCTTTTCTTTAAAGATGGTTGTTTTAATGATTGCCCTGAAACTTGAGATGCCAAGGGAATCTAAGGTATAAAAAAAAGGTTAATATTTAATATGCATATTGAAAAATAAATATAATATGCATCCAATTATGTGTAACCTGTATTGTTTTTGTCTATCAAACTGTTTTTATGAGATTTACTTGTCTCACATCTGTCTACTAGCTGTGATTTTCAGCTTATTTTAAAAGGATACTGATTTTGGGCTACACCAGAAGTTTATTTGCAGCAAAAATGTTTGGTTGCTTCATCAGGTATAGGAGCATTTCATGATAAAACTGGCAGATCTGTAGTATCCTATTGTTTTTTGTTTTTTCTTTAAAAGGTTTTTTTTAAAGTGACTAAATAATAATAATAGAGTTAATCAAACAAAAAAGGACGAATAAAAGTCCATTTATTTTGTAATGTGGAGCTTTCGTATTATAATACTTTTTTTCTTATAATAACTTTAAACAACCATATTTTTCCAACATATGCTGAAAGAATTCCTTTCACTTAACATTAAGTGACATGAACAAAGTCACAGGTCAAGATAAGTTGAAGGCAGTCTTGCTCGAGAACACATGCTGGTAAGTTTCTTCCCTGCAGTTCACTTTTTTTCGTTTGCTTGTTTTGTTAAAAATTTGACAAACTTGATATGTACGAGTCAAGAGTAGGGAGCAAGTGATAATAACAGCATGAAGCTACTGATGACAATCAGTGTTGTTTTTTGGCTTTTCTGTGTTGAAAACTAAGGAAAGTTAACAACCTGTTGATAAATCCATGAAGCTCTAAACTCATTGAATCTACTTAAAATGCTACCAGTTATAGCTTCTTATCTTAGTACAATCTAAGGGTATTCACCACTTTGTACAAGTGCCATGGTACAAATAAAAACTAAATTCTGAAAATGTTCATAAATTTAAAAGTGTATTGTTGTAAAAATGTATCTAAACAGTCTAAAGACTGTTATTATTAAATATTTATAAATATTTATTTACTTATACAATAACTTATTACTGTTCCAGTAGTTCAGGTGGATGCAATTTTGAGAAATCTTGTATCTAGCTGTAACTTTTAAATGATTTTAACCATGGATCAAATTTATGCATATTTTCTTGAATAATTTCTTAATTGTTTGCTTAATAAAACAAAAAACAAAAAAGCAGCCAGTTTGCATCTAGAAAGTGCTATTAAAATAATAGCCATGTATTCCTAAGTTAAATTATTCATTACCCACTTAATTGTTATTGTTTTACTTCTATAATCTGTGGGGGAGATTAAATTAATTAGCCATTCAGCGTATTTTATATTCTTATCTAACTTTTATTTAACTGCAGTCGTGAAATAAATGTAGGAAGTACAAGTACAGTATTTCCTTCTGTTGTAGTGGAGCAGAAGTAGAAAAACAAGTAAAGTAAAACTACCTCAAACTTGCTCGCTTGTGCTTGAGTGATTTGTATTTGTTACCCCGGTAACTGTAGAGAGTAAAATTGGAACAAAGTGCTGAATCAACAACCAAACTGCCAGCGTGTTGATAAAATAAATACTTTGGTTTGCATTTAATATTAACCAATTTAAAACATTTGATCCACAGTGACCTCCTGTAAATTATGCCCCTTTTTATGTGTTGTAAACGACTATCAGTCCTAAGATAAAGATGGAGCACCTTCCAACTTTTTCTAATCACTATCAGTAGTCAGTGGCAGCTGTTTCCATTTGACCCATATTCTGAATGGTCATGTAGTGGGCGTTTATCTGTATGAAGGTTTCCCTTTTTATTTATGTACACTCAGTAAATGCATTCTGCTAATTTGAGAGTCAATTGTGTAAAGACAGATTTATATATATGTTGAACATGCATATGCTGATATACTTTTTTTTCCCCCAAATCTCTTTCCACTGGAAATTAGCCTTGTGTGAACTGTAATGCCCTGATTAAAGGGGTCATTTATCACACTCACTCACAGGTAAAAATAAATAAATAATAACAAGCAAAAATTATATTTATTAAAGTGTCATTGTGGATTTTGTTATGTAGGGAAGAATAATAAGGAGGTGACAGTTAGAATTTCTGAACATAAGAGGAATATCTGAAATAATGACATTATTAATCAGCTACAGTTGGGCCACCGAAAAGTGGTGGCGTTCATATTTGTTTTTATACAAATACTCTGATAATCTGTATGCATTGACACAACACAAAGTAAGCATTACTTTTTGTATTTTGGTTAATGTTGATGTATTAACCATTGTTGCCACTTGTGGTATTCAAAACCTAGAATGTCAGTGGGCAGATCACCTCAGCAGGATTGATAACCTATCATGCTTTTAGAGTATGCAAGTTAAAAACGTTAGTTTTTAACGCCGGTGAGACCTTTGGTCTGTACTACCTGATGCTTTTAAGTGAGTCAGTTGTTTAATTTTTAGTTCCCTTGGTAGAAGTGCATAACCAAAGGATCCTGAAGAACTCGCCACAGTGTGACATTCAGATATGCTTTTGTCATCAAGGCTGAGAAATAAGCAGGTGGAGTTATTTAGTATAACATGGGAATATTTACATCTGCAGTTAAAAGATTGGAGCCATTTAGCCCGTTAACTAATGATTTACAGGTAAATTTGTTTTTGAGAAAGGCACTAAATCTTCAGGTTTGAATAGCACAAACTGTAAGAAGAATTGTGAAGAGGACGTCTCCACATGCAACGCAAAATAATTATAGGTTAACCCTTTCAGCAGTGGTACTTCTGAGTAAAAAAAAACTCATAAAATATGTATGTGGGGTAATCAGGTTGTTAGCTTTTAACTGTTGCAAATCTGCAAGGCCTACCTTGAGAGGGTTAAGGATTAATTGTTTGCAATAACCTTCAAAAAGGGTTATACTATTAATGTTCATTTTTATTATTATTATTAATTTTTATCTTTCAGATTAAGGACCTTTTCTTTAATACTTTAATGACATTCTATACACCCCTTTTTTTTGCAAAAGATATGTAAATGTAAGATAAAATATAAGGCATTTTAGAATAGCCTACTTGCATTTTATTTTCAGTTTAAGTCATGAGCTTTAGGCTTCAACATTAAAAACAGCCATGTCTTATAAACTGTAAAGTACAACTGTTAATTATTTAGTGAAGTAGATAGTCCAGAAAATGCACAAGGCCATCACTTGACGTCACATGATGTGGGCACTGCCTCCTGTTAGCAGATTTATATGGAAGTGTTTCCTGAACCAGAGCGCTCACAGATTTTCCTGGTCCGGCGACTCTGCAACTTTCTCACCATGAGCTTCATCAGTGTGCTGTCCTGCCTGAGCCTCTTGCTGGCAGTGGGTGTCGCCCAATACCCCAAACCCTGTGGTGAGTATGGACTTAGATGAACAAGATACTCAAACTGATGTCTATATCTGTGTTAAGAGACCTGCTAAATGTGCCTGAAACAGAAATATGAAAAAACTGAATTCATAATGTTAGAAAATGTATTTTTACTCAGAGACACAGACATATTTTTTTAATCTATCTTAAAAAACCAGGTATAGTCAAACTAGGCTGCCAAGATTAATTTGTATGGTAAGCTAAGGTTCTCCAATGAGTATATTTATGCATTCAATTTTAGATTGTTATAACAAATGGAGCTTATGACTTTGACTTTCTCTTCCACAGTCGTTCCAGAGCTGCTGAGTGGAGGGCTCACTGTGGTGAGTTCACTGATGTGCCCCACAGATAATCTTTAGGAACTTACTGTATATCTCTATTGCTCTGATCAGTGTTAAGCAAACTTCTCTTGTATTTTATGCCAACTGAACCCTTTTCTGTTGGATGTAATATTTCCTCACATAATAGTATGATTATGCAGCAACAGAGCAGTTTTTTTGTGCCTTAATATGTACGGATTAGGTTTTAACAGAGATGGAACGTAATGAAGTCTAAATACTTCATTACTGTACTTAACTAGAATTTTCAGGTGTCTGTACTTTTCTTTAGTATTTCTTTTTCTGACAACTTTTTATTTTTATTCCCTACATTTTTAACAAATATCTGTACTTTCTAGTTCACGCATTTTCAAAATAAAAAAAGCTTGTTACCTTTGGTTTGTCGCATACTTGGTTTGCCTAACCCGCACTTCAGCAGACAAACACATGAGTGTGTGTGCAGTTTGTCACACAGTGTGTTGCTAGCTATATTGGTACCACTATATTGCAGTGGTATTGGATAAATGCAAAATTTACATGTAAGTCCTCACTTTTGTAAATCAAATATTGGGTCTGTACGTGTGGCATTATGTTTTTACATATTGTGAAACATGCTGCAAAACAATCTGAGGTAGACTGAATGCATTATTTAAAGGTTTCATGAA